GTGATTTTGTTCATAACTTTTTCATCATCATGTTTATGTTGTTCATCTAATCCTTTTTCTCTTGGCATTTTTCCTTTTTTAACGCTTCTCTCTTTACTCTCCCTCGCTCCCCCCGTCTTTCCCGGCCCTTGTGTGTCGAAGCTTCATCCTCCTCCCTTTCGATGAAAGCCGAATCCCTGATGACGAAGCTCAATATCATCCATCCCTCCCCTCTTCTCCCTTTCATGCTTTTCCTTTCCAGGTGGTTTCGGTCGTTTGGGTCACGGGGATGACGCCTTGCAAGCCACGCCCAAGAGGGTGGATGCTTTGGCGCTGGAGCACGTCAAGTGCAAGCAGGTGAGCGCCCTTCGAAATCGATTCTTCTCCTCCCTGTCCGCCCTCGCCTGGCATGGGCTCAAGCCGGCCGATGGGCCGAAGGTCCAGCAAAGGACGGGAGGTGCCCATGTCTCACGCCCGTCCTGCCTCTTCCTTCTTTGTCTGTTCTCGGACCCCCTGCGATCCCTCTCCCGTCCTGTCTCTCCCCGCCAGGTTGCCTGTGGCTTTGCCTACACCGCGGCGGTCACCACGGAGGGGCAAGTCTACACGTGGGGGGCGGGGGAAAATGGCCGCCTGGGCCTTGGGGATGAGCTGGACAAGATGCGACCAGGTAGGGAGGAAGCAAACAAGGGAAGGAGGGCTTCGGGGTTTCTTCTTGGGCTAGGGGAGCCCACTGAACACCTTTCCCTTCTTCCCTCCCTCCTTCCATTCCTTCAGGTCATGTGAAGGACCTGGCCCGCTACCCCGTCAAGGAGATTTTTGCGGGCTCCGTTCATACCTGTGCATTATTGGAGGACGGTCGTATTTTCTCCTGGGGCAAGTGCGAGTATACTGGTCATGGCCTTCAGCAGGTGGGAGACGGCGCTTTTTTTTCCCCTCCCTTTCCTGCCTCCTCACTTCCATTTTGTTTCTTATTATGTCCTCCCCTTGCCGGTACAGCAAGTATGAGGAAAAATAAAGCGGACATGGTGATTGAATGAGTGACCACGTTTCGTCCCCTTTCTGCCTTTTTTTTTCCCTCCTCAGGACGTGCTCTCGCCCCTTCATCTTGATGCCTTCCAAGGACAGCTCTTCGCGCAAGTCTCTGTGGGACCGGGAGGCTACCACACCATTACTCTCAGTACCACGGGCGAGGTATCCTTTTTACTACCATTCCTTGCATTCTTTCCCACTTCTTTGTTCCATGGAATGCTGTACTGTGGCTTTCTTCTCCCGGTGTTTCCTCTCCTCCTTCTCAGAAAGGTCATCGTTCATGCTAGAATTGTTCTCGGTCTGTGTCAAGCATTCCACCGAGCGTTGGCCGGGGCTTCGGTCACGTCGGTGTTTTCTCAGTGACCACACTGCCCACTCACCAGCGTCCTTGTCCTGAACCCTCCTCCCACCAATCCTCCCTTGATTGAACCTCTCCCCCGGCCCATGCCCCCTCTGGCCCAGGTTTACACGTGGGGTCATAATCGAGTCGGGCAGCTCGGCTATACGAACAACGAGGAGGTCCCGCGGAACAATGAAGGGGCCCATTTTCTCCCCACCCCTCGGCGTGTCAAGACTCTCGCAGGGGGTGGCCCGCCCTTACGGATACAGAAGGTCGAAAGGGAGGGAGGCGAGGGGAGAAGAGGGAGCAAAGGCGATTATCTGAGGCCTTCTACTGCAAGACTATGACATGATAATTAAGAAGCACGTTTCTTTGTCATCTGGACCTACTGGCATGATAGTCTACATGTAATCACTTCTCATCCCCCCCAGGTGATTGCTGGATGGGGTCATTCAGCCGTGGTGTGCGGGAATGGCGACGTGTATATATGTGGCCGGTATGTATCCTTGTTTTCTTCCTCTTCTTACCTCCTTCCCCGACTCCTAGCTTTCCTTCCTTTGCGTCACCGGTTTTGTGCCCGCTCTTTCCCCGTCTCCAGCAATTTTCAAGGACAGCTCGGCCTCGGCGATCCGAAAAATTTTGAAAGAAACGAGCGCAACCACCCCTACCTGGCACACTTTCGTGTCATCACAGGTAATTTTTGTCTCCTTTTTACCCCCTCCTCATTTTTATTCCGGTTTCTCCTTTTCTATTTTAATTCTCCCCTTGTGTCTATTTCGTGGTCTGTCGTCCTCCTCTTCCGTGCAGCCTAGATCCCCCACCCGTCGTAATAACTACTCTGTCCCCCTTTTTCCTACGCGATTGTTCCACCGAGTACAGACCTCCAGACGGGGGGTCAGCAAAAAGTCAAACAATTTGCCTGCGGCGGTGAGCATTCCGCCGCCTTGTTGAACAATGACGAAGTCTATACTTTTGGAGCCGGGTAGGGCGGAAAGGGAGTAGGGGAAAGGAAGGATGGGAGAAAAAATATGGAGAAGGAATGCGGAAGGTACCAAAATTGTAACTGATTTTTTTTTAATGTCCCATCGACAGGGCAAGAGGGCAGCTCGGCCATGGTGACTCGCGGAACGAGGTGTATCCGCGGTTGAATCAGGTGCGCTAGCGTAGGATCACTTCGTTGCACAAAAAGTTTTGCTAACTACCTTTCCTCAAGCTCCATGCCGAGTGTGTCCCATCAAAAGTCCTCCGTATCAAATGTCTCACCTTTGATCGCTTTTTCAAAGACCACGCGTCTCACTCTTGACTTCTATATCTTTCTTTATGCTCTCTTTATCCCCAGACGATGCGTGCCACCCGTCGGGTCATTAAAGATGTGGCCTGTGGAAACAATTGCACGGGTGCTTACTATTTTCCTTCTCTGTGGTTCTGGGTTGGGGGTGCCTTCCGTTCCAATTTCGCTAATTCCTTACGCTACTTCGGTTCTTCTTCCATTCACCGTTTTGCTAGTTATGCTCGTGGGGGCGCATCGAATCCCTCCTCTGACAGAGTACTGCCTGGAATTCATCACGCAAAATTGGTCCCTTTATCGTCATATTGGTTAAGTTTCTATCCTCTTCTGTCTTTTCCATTGTCTCCTTTGAGTACTTGGAGACCCACTTATCCCTCGAAGGAATGGCTCGTTTCTGGTATTGCTAACAATCCTTTTTACCTGCCTTTCGTTATCATTCTGTTTTGTGGCATGTCTCATTCCCCGACAGATTTTGCAGAAGCACTTCCACATGACCTTTTCCTTGCGCTTCGGCGTCTACAACACCATTCCTCCTTTCACGACTTGTCGATATCGATTTCTCGGCAAGGCGGTGATCAAGGGATGGATCAGGAGGACGATCAAGATGAGGACCAAGAAGTAGATGACTGCCTAGTGTCTGTAGCTTTTTCCTCCATGTCATTTTGGGAAGAAACCGCTGTATCTAACGCTTCAGCATGCACGTCTTTCAGTCAATAGACCTTGAGTTGATTTCCAAGGAAGATCAAGTGATTGAGCGAGCGAAATAAATTGCACAGAAAAGGAGAGGGAAAGAATAATAAAACGAGGACCTGAGCATTCCCATGACGAGGGTCTCGCATAAAAATAGTAGCGCAAGGCATTTTAAAACTCATAACCTATTTGAAAAGCACTTGCTCCCTCTTATTTAGGCGTCATCTTCCTGTAGACGTTCATCTACACTACTTGTAAAGATCAGAAAGGCATACAAATGCAAGAATTGAACACAGCTTTCGGTTCTTAGATGTTTGGAGAGATAAATGATTGATATTGCCCTGTTTACTTGTTTTTTAATTTGACTGTGCTTTTTCCCTTGCCAGCGACGTGAATTATTGTCTAACACGGCGAAGCTAAAAGCCAAGAGAAGCTTACGCACGGCACTTTCTCCCGTGAACTTGACGCCTGCTGAGCGTCAGGAGGTGGATGACGCTCTGGCACAGGTGGGGAAGACGGTTGACCAAGCTTCTCCGCATGAACGTCAAAGCCGCCGCCGTCGA